TGAAGCTCACCTGATATACGTGAAGTGAATCATTATATAAGTTTGTATAATTTACCTATAATTTTGAAAGTCCTTAATTTTCACGAAGCAAAAGGCAAGAAGCCACAGTACAGTGTAAGGCCGTGGTGGCCTAATGGTAAGGTGTCCAGCCTCGGTGCCTGGAGGGTTCCAGGTTCGAACCCCGATTCTACTGAAGATCCGCCGTGTGTATGGCTTGTTGCACGTTAAATCGAACATCCTCCCGGTGTTTGGTGCGGAAGTTTGGAGGGGAGTCCAGTTGAGGTGTCGTTGAAGGGCTAGAGGATACCTCAAAAATACCCTACTTCATCACTGACTCAGATCAGCAAGTTGCAAATGATACTCCAGGCAAAAGATCCATCAATAAACATTTATTTCATATTTTAACAAGGTATATTGTGCAAAATGAAATCGCCAATTATAACATTAAAACATAAAGAATCTGCAGAACGATACATCTCGTATCAAAAGTTACCATGTACACAAGAATACTTGGCGAGAAGAGGAACATGTTCAGTGAGGAACAAAGGGACTACAGACACATCTGGATTCTGTGTAACTGATGATTAACAAGTAGCATCTAACTGCAGATGAGGGAAATCTAAACCAGTCGGGAAGGCTCATACTCTACTTAGGCGAGATGGCGAACACCGTCTGTTGTACTGCTATAGATCCAACCACAGAGGCTCATACTTCTCTAAGATGAGTTGGCTTATACTTTGGTACTGCCCTCTCTCTCTCTCTCTCTCTGCAACGGAATTGAAAATGTACTCTTATAAAAACCTTGACAAATAGTGCTCGCGCATTATTACCTTTGCACCATCTTAGCATCTTGCATTGATAAACTATAACTGCCGCTTCATGGCAAGGCACACAATATTCTAAAAATAATTTTACAGCTAAAGGAAGTAGAGCTTACAGATTTAGATTTGCTAGAGAGAGTATATAATTTGCTAATTTCGAGGTAGAGCTTACAGATTTAGATTTGTTAGAGAGAGTGTATAATTTGCTACTTTAGAAGTAGAGCTTACAGATTTAGATTTGCTAGAGAGGGTATATAATTTGCTAATTTAGAAGTAGAGCTTACAGATTTAGATTTGTTAGAGAGGGTGTATAATTTGCTAATTTAGAAGTAGAGCTTACAGATTTAGATTTGTTAGAGAGGGTATATAATTTGCTAATTTAGAAGTAGAGCTTACAGGTTTAGATTTGCTAGAGAGGGTATGTAATTTGCTAATTTAGAAGAAGAGCTTACAGATTTAGATTTGCCAGAGAAGATATATAATTTGCTAATTTAGAAGCAGAGATTACAGATTTAAAACTAAATTCAATTATTTGAATTTAGTTTTACAGAATTAATTTGTACATGATAATAAAAATTTATTTTGATTATATACTTTCTAATAATTAAATCTAATTACCCCATGGGAATTGATAATTAATTTTCTAGTTGAACAACTTCTGCTTTCGTTTGAAAAATTTTGAATTTGTTTTCTGCATTATTATTTTATCATTCTTAAAGATTTATTTATTCTTATTATTTCATTATTATATAATATTATTTCAAGCTGTGTAATAATATTCCTTACCAAATAAATATTTAACAATCAAGATTAAGGGAAATGAAATTAATTATATAATCGAACGTTTTATTTAAAAGTATTCAAAAGCATAAACTAGTTAATAAACTAAATTAATTTCAAATATTTGCTTTGCAACAATTTATTAATTGTTCAAGTACAATATATAAAATTCATATATATATTTCATATATATATTTGCATTCACAGCATAAGCATCTACTAAGATTCAAAATTCATCTTTCCTACACAGGAAACTTTCTTTATCTCTTTAGATCAAATATTTGTATGCAAAATGCTTATATAATTATTCATTTGATAATATTCGAGTATAATAAATACTGCATAGAGATATCTATGAATAGAAAATAAAATAGACAAATGTATATTATTTTAAATATTAAAACTTACTATATCTTTAAATAGCACGAATCAGATTTATAAAACTTATCACATCAAGAATGCATATATCCATATAAATTCGGATCATAATCAACTATACCATTAGTTGATCAACATGTGATCTTATCATATTAAACGCAGTATGCCTTTTAATATTTTCGGTCAATTACTTTTAACGTATTCGAATTTACAAACATGTGATGAGAAAAATGGCATGACTCATTTATTTGCTATCCATTACAAACGATACTTCTTACGCAATTTACTCAACCGTCAATTGGAGGAAAAACTAAAACCATAGTGATTCTGATGTAATTCTTTATATAAAAAGGCACAGAACGATTCATGTTTGATAATTAGAGCTCGTCTTTTGTAAAAAATATTTATATGCACTTACTGAATTAGATATCAATTCCTTCAGTAAATAATCGTCATATCTCAAGAAATAAAGTAGATACAACGATATGTATACACTATACGTTGCATACATGTAGAAACTAACTTTAGCATTTTTGTTCATTTAAAATTGTAAGAGATGGCACCACTAATAAAATCGTCTGTTTTATGGCGAAGTGACGTCACGTCACTTCGGCGGGAATTAAATCAGTTCGATGTTGGATTTTTCACCGAAGCGGTCGTTATAATTTAGGCTCTCCGTTTTCTGAGCGAAAGTAAATTATGAATTAGCCTGGTGCTATCTCGGAGGTGAACTTGCTCTTATGTTTATTGTTTTAACCCCTTTGTAAATAGTTAAATGTTTTAATTGTGTTTAAATAATAAATTAGTTGATTTTAACTCTCTATTTTCATTTTGCATCAAATTAGAGCCTTTATCCCCTAGACACCTTTCCTACATACATGTAAGTAAAGTTTGTACGTACGTAGATATTTAACATACTATGTAAGTTCGTAGGTATTTTACGTACTAATTACGTATCTAACCTACTCAGTTGGTAGGTATATGAAGTATCGAGCATATATGTTACGGTCAATGTGGTAAATCGGTTATTATATATAATAACTGGTTCTTTAAGGTACTATTATATATTATAACCGGATATTTAAGGGACTATTATGCATTATAACTGGATCTTTAAGGGACTATTATATATAATAACCGGATTTTTGCGCTGTTATATACGAGGCGTGTCCTGAAATTAAGTACCATTTTGTTCTATCGCCACCGCAGCACTGGTGTCGCAGTCCGCGCATGTGCACACGTGTCTCTGGTTCATTGTCTGTCCACTGACGCCATTGCAGCCGGATTGTGTTGTGTTTACATGTGTTAGTGAGCGTTAAAAATTTTTAAAACGATTGCCGATCCTGCCGACTGTGAAGTGCGTTCTGTAATACGGTTTTTGAACGCAAAGAAAGTTAAGCCAGCTGAAATTCATCGTCAACTTGTAGAGATTTATGGTGAAAATGTAATGACTGATGGAATGGTTAGAAAGTGGGTTCGACAATTTAATGATGGACGCACCAATGTTCATGACGAAGCACGGAGTGGGCGGCCTTCTGTTGTCAATGGTGGTTTGTTTGCAAAAGTGAATGAGAAAATTCGTGGAAACAGAAGGTTCACAATAAGAATGCTTTTGATGAGTTTCCAAAAATTTCAAAAACTGTTTTGCATGATATTGTCACAAATCGCTTAAATTATCGCAAATTGTGTTCCCGTTGGGTTCCGAAAATGCTTACGGATGTCCACGAAACGAAGTGACTTGGCAGTGCTTTGAAATTTCGTACCCGATGCAGTGAAGAGGGCAATGAATTCCTAAACAAAATTGTGACCGGTGATGAAACTTGGGTTTGTTCTTGATCTTGAAGCGTGATTTTAGAGGTAGGCGCTTTGACAGCGATGACGACGCAAAAAACGGTGTTCAGCAGTGGCTGTCTTTCTTTGAAGAGGGTATAGACAAGTTGGTTTCTCTCTATGACAAATGTCTGAGCAATGGTAGTAACTATGTAGAAAAATAGTTTACGAAATGCTCTTTCATGTAAAAATAAGTTTTGTTTTGAAAAAACATTTTTTATGCGAGTTTTTTCAAAACGGTACTTACTTTCCGGACATGCCTCGTATAATGACTCATTATTACATAAAATAACTGATTACTCCCATTCACCGTAACATAAATGTAAGAAGAAGAAGAAATGAAATGTACTAAGAATGTAGGTAAGTATTTACGGATAAACGTACATATATATGTACGTTCGTATGTGCATAACATTCGTTCGTACGTATGCACGTAACGCGCGTCTTATGTAACGTACTCACGCATGTTCACAACATGCATATGTATCAATACATAACTTACATAGGTTTTCAAAATGGATATTTAAACAAATATTGTATGTAAGGACGCTTTAGTCCATTACGTCCATAGCGCTTATATTCAATCATTTTGACAATTTTACAGAAAAATAAAAATTCTTTATCCAGCTATATTCAATTACGAATAGCGCGTACAGTTCCGAAATTATTGGGCCCCCTTCAAAGCGACTATTACATGGAGCGTGCTGAAAAATATGTTTCACAATAAATTTCTTGAGCTTTCTGATTGAATATTCGGCCAACACTTCCCGTAGATTTTCATATATTTTATTTTATTGAACTGTAAAATGAAAGTCAATAAAATCAAATTTCGAATCAAACGAAGATGAGGATCTAGGGGCCATCCATAAGTGATGTCACACTTTTTTTCAATATTTTGACCCCCCCTCCCTTTGTCACAAAGTGTCACACTTCACCATACCCCCTCCCCCCCTTGTCACATGTCACGCTATATTACATAAACATATACTTGCAGTTCAGAAACAAAGCACTACGTCATAGATCATATTTCCAATTTTATTTTTAAACTTTAACTATATGTTTTAATGACATTTGTGAGCATAATAATAATGATTATAGGTGTACTTATTTTGTATGAAATAAGATTAAGGTTTACAACAAAAAAACCTAATTAATATACAATAGTAATAAAATAATAATATAAAAGAGCAATTGAAAACAGTAGTATTTTGGAATTTGAAATGGAATTTGATATATTTTACTATAAATCTTATCTTCACTTTATGAACACAAAATACTCTTAAACAGATTGAATTTAGAAAAAAGAAACGCCTCAATAAGATCAACCTGTTTGTGCCACTGCCAGTTCTACCACTCACCCAGGTGGGGCGACATATCTTTTGGGG